TTTCTCCTTTCTGTTCCCACTGCCGGGTTTCGACGGGTGCTGCTCGGTGAGTGGACGCCGATGCGCAAGAGGCACTCTGTACGCTTGACCCGCCAGTCGGCTGATAAAACTCTTAAAGTGTGTGAACTGACAAACCTGTAATGACTGGGTTTTGACGTGTGCTCTTGGGTTCTTCATTAAAGTGGTAAACATGGCATCTTTAATTATTTTGTTTGAATGAAACCACGCCAGACGGCAAAGATCTGCAAAGGCTATATTGAGGCCTAGTGTGCCTCCACCTCCATTCTCCGTCTTTCTGTCAAACGCTGCCGAGTGGGAAGAGAACTCCGCGACATGTCGCTGTTCCGTGCGTGCTGTGTTGGTGGTGTTGGTGCACCCTCCCTCTTGCTCTGTCCCATTCCTTGCGGCGGCGGCGGCGCCGCCAGGTGTAAAACACAAAAACAACTCGAAGGCTACCACACTGCTGCCTGCACTGAAAGGAAGGATGCGACGCGACGCGAAGACTGGAGGGGCGTACCGCCGAGCCCACCACACAGCGTTGATGCTGCTTGTGCTGCTGCTCGTGCACCTCAGCAGCGGCGACGCTGCCTTGACACTGCGCCTTGTGCAGGTGACGCACCGCCACGGGTCCCGAGTGCCTCTTGTGGACTACAACCAGAGCCAGATATGCGGCGATGTCCCATGTGGGTACCTGAACGTGCCTGGCTACACCATGACTGTAAATGCTGGTGACTTCCTTCGAAGACACTACAACAGCGACGCCTCAAATCCTTTCTTCCCTTCTGAGAGCTACGACCTCGACGTGTCATACACTCGCTCCAGCGACGTGGGACGCACGATTCAGAGCGCCGAGGGCATTCTGCGCGGCCTGTTTCCCAATATGACGGCGTTCTTCCCTGCTGTGCATACCGTGGAGCCTTCGACTGACTGGCTGATAAGGAACGAAGTCATTCCTCATGCCTGGATTTTCTACAGATTCGATAGGGAGTGGGAACTTGAGGTGTGCAACCCGAAGGTCGACACCATCATCGACTTCCCCACTCTGCAGGCCATTTCCAGGGAGGTCTACAGTGAGGGATACTGCGCTGACATGGAGAACCGGTGCAGATGCGCCCAGACGTTGTTCGACATTGGTAATGCTATGGCTGCCGACGGACGGATTGTGAACTTCCCATCGCTGAGTGCGAACCTGGAGAATCTGCGTTCTTTCGTGGTGTTCCATTTCGGCTCCGCGTATGGGTACAATGCGTCGAACGAGGTGCACCGGAAGATGGGAAGCGAGGGTCAGCCGCTGATGCAGCAAATGCTGGCAAATGCGCAGCTGCACATGCA